GACGAATCCCATGGTAAGTCTTGTTGAAGCCGTAGTGGGAGAGTGCTCCGTGGGCCAGGTGTAGAATAGTGGGCCGCAGGCTGGTGGGAATCACAAGTTGTTCGATGTTGGCCCAATCGTCCTCCTCCTTCAGTTTACTGGGTCTATATCTGCGGTAGAGCAAGTCGTTCTCTAGGAAGAACCCAGGAATACTGTCGGGTTGAGTCTCAGCCTGGAAAAACAATGGTGTTAAAGTAAGATCTTCCCTCTGTAACTTACGGAACTCCAACTTGGTCAGATGCGGGGGGAGTTTCTGAGGGTTTTGAGGGACAGCGGTAGCAGTAGAGTCAGCTGGCTGTGGACGTGCGGCTTGTGCACGGGTGGTCACGAGAACCGGAGGAGAAACTTCATCACTCTCTTGAACCTCTGCTGGAACATACTCTAGAATAGGGTTTATTGGCACAGAGTTACACACCTGGGGTTTGTCCATGACGATCAGGTTGGTCGGTTGCAGGTCTTCTGCCAAGTCGTTGCCTAGGAGAAGTTGCACTCCAGGCATGGGAAAAGGCTTTTCCCTGACGGCGACTTGGACTTCCCCGTTCACGTAGGGACAATCCAGGTGGACTCTGGCGAGAGGGTATGGAGTGGTAGCAGTGAGGTCAGTGATGAAGACAGTTTCTCTGGTGTAGGTGATGTTGGGCACAGCCGACTTCAAGATGATCGATTGAAGAGCCGCTGTGTCCCTCAAGATCTTCAATTTGAAACGTCCCTCCGGATTTGAACCGTTGGCAGAGACAGTTCCAGTATACAGGTGGTTACTGAAAAGAGAAAGATCATTAACCTTAACACCAACATTCATCACAGGCTTACCGGACTTAGGAGGAGTTGGTTTGGGTTTTTGTTGGTCAGTGATTCCCTTGTATTGAGACTTACCACACTTGTCTATGGTATGTCCATAGAGTCTACAATACTTGCAGTACAGTTGTGAACCAGCTTGATCGGGGCTCACCTTCTCGTAACTGTACCACGACTTCTTACTGGAGGATGGTTCGGGTGTCAGCCGGTGGATGAGGCTGTAAGTGTCAGCCGACTTAGCACACTTCAGGTAGTCGGTTTCTTCTTTATCTGCTAAGTAGAGGCGGACAGGAGGCGGCACACGCCTCAAGAATTCTTCAACAAGCATCAGGTTGACGAGTTCTGTAAAAGTAGAGACATGTGCTGCTTCCAGCCATTTCATGAAATACCTCCGTTTCGTGTTAGCAAACTCGAGGAAGGTAGTGGTACTTGCCTTCAGGTGGTCACGGAATTTCCTTCTATAACTTTCGGTGGAAAGTAGGTAGGCGTCCAACACTGCTTGTTTCAGAGTCGGGTAGTCATTCTCAGACGCCAGAGTACTGAGTGTGACTGCAGCTCTACCTGTAAGATGGACTCTGAGAAGTGTGGCCCATTGGTCGACAGGCCAACTGAGTTGATTAGCAAGAGTTTCAAAGGTGGTGAAAAACACATCAACTTCTGCTTCTACAAAGGATGGCATTAACTTACTTGCATGTGATATATTAAAACTGACGGGAAGATTGGCAGTAGCTTGCTGGCGTTGAGTGAAGTGTGAAGTTTCCAAGGCGATTTCGCGTTGACGACACTCTAGAGCCAGAGTCGCTTGTTGCTTGTCATGCTCGCGTTGCATCTCCAACTCGCGTTGTTTGGTTTCAAGCTGTACGCGTTCCCGCTCCTGGAGTGTTTCAAGCTGTACTCGTTCACGTTCACGGAGTAATGTGACCTCACGTTCGTGTTCTTCTCTCCTCAAAGCGGCCTCGCGTTCTCTGAGGGTGATTTCTCGTTCTTGTTCTCCTCTCCTCAAAGTAGCCTCGCGTTCTTGTTCGTCTCTCCTCAAAGCAGTTTCGCGTTCTTGTTCGTCTCTCCTCAAAGCAGTTTCACGTTCTCTGAGGGTGATTTCTCGTTCTTGTTCTTCCCTACGTATGGCAGCTGCTTCTCTTTGCTGCTCACGTTCAATCTTGGCCAGCTCTAGTTTGAGTTTCAGCGTTGCCAAATCAGTTTTTTCTGCAATATAGTAAGTTTCATGAGTTTCAGAGTCTATCTTACCTTGCTCTAAATAGTAATCCAGCAACAGGTTGTGTAGGTCATTTTTGTTGGCTTGGTAGGGAACTTCTAGTTGATACTCATGTGCAAGAGTTTGTAATTCAGTCTTCTTGGCACGACTTAAAGTCCCTATTTCACCTGCTGGATTTGTACGGAAAGCTTGGAGACAAAACATGGTGAAATTAGCAAATAAAGGTACACGAATATTCAATAGTGAAATGTCAGAAACAGGACAACGTGGCAACTGGTACCTATCCTGTGAGATCTTTAACAATTAAAGTTAAGTAAAAGATATTAAATTATTAAATTAAATCAAGGGCGCAGGAAATCTTGTACCCGGTACTCATGTAAGAGGATAAGGGCAAGAAAATCCTACTAACAAATGAAACAGAGTTTCGAAAACAAATGAAACAGTTAAATGCTTCAAAAGTAAAATTGGTAGTCCAAGGATGTAGGCATACCTTGCCGAGTCTCTATAGGACATAAAGCAAGTTTTTCCTACTGAATTTAATATGATACTTACAGAATTAGCGAACTTTTGTGCTCTGAAAAAGTAAGCTAATTCCCTACCGTTGTATGTATCATCATCTCTGACTGACGTGTAGGGGTGCGAGGTGTCAACTGGTGACGAGAACTGCTGCTGAGGTCCCAATTCAGCAACTAAAGTTCGAGCTAGAGGAACTATGGCCCTCTTTGTCCTCCTACAGTCAGATTGCAGAAGATTGGGTACTCTTGACCCGGGGCAGACCACAGTACCAGGGTACCAATATGATGATCTGTCAAAATGAGAAATATTCAAGGGACAAAGATGGTAAACACGAGTAATAACACGGAGGGAGAGATGACCAATTAAGAGTATGACTGCGGCCTACAGTCACCACGTAATCCAAAGTTGTCTAACCTTCACCATATGTTACTCTCGTAATGCACAATACACCGCACCTTATAAAAAATGAAATTGAATATGAAAAATAGTAAAGCAAAGTTAAATACGCTTACCATAAATTACCACTTGGCACCAGTACCTGAGTGAAGCTCCCGGACAGGCCCCCATATAACTTGTGACGGTAACGCGTTGGTGTTCGGCTGTTTAAGGCTAGGGGTATGGCTTCGTCACATAGTTATAAAAAAAAATAGAAAAAACTGGAACTTCGTCTGTGGTAAGGTAAGGAGAAGACACACAAAACACAAGTAAACTTTAACAATGAAATTTTAATTACGTTAAATAAATCAAAACATAAATAAAAGGGACAAACAAATTCTTATAATAAAATCAATCAATCAAAAATAATAAGAATAATTAAATGACAATGAAAAGTTACGTTAAGACAAAATAACAAGAAGTGCAATACAAAAATAAAGGAAGGTGCTGGAATATTGGCTTTAAGCTACCACCTCTCTCAGTACACGCTTACGTCTAGCCGGGAGAAGTGTTAACTGTGGAAGCACTGAATATTCTGAGGTCTGAGGTCGTGGCGACCCCAGACATCAAGTAGTATGGGGGGGGGGGAGTGCAGTTGCAGCCCGGCCGGCGACCAATCAGCGGAGCCGGTAGTAAGACAGGTAGTTTGGCGGTTTGAGTCTGAGCAGGTGTCCCTGGCTGCATACGTTTTGCTCTCTGGCAAACCTTGCTGGTGTTGTTGTCGTTGTTGGACATTTCTTCCATAGTAGTTATATATATTTGTTGCGACGTATTTGTGGAGGGAAGAGCAGGCTCAATCTCTTGAAGGAGATTATCGTCACACCAAGAACACAGATATATCTATATAAAGACACCTAAGTATAGATAGAGAACAGCCAACCAAAGGCAGACCTCCCCCACCAGGCAGAAAAACAAAAATAAAATTACCACAAGAGGACAACGTACCCAGGCGGAACAGAGCCGGTCACTATAATAGGCGTTAACTAGCTGTGCAGTACCCCGTGCCCCTATCAGTGATAAAAACTACCTCCTACCCAGAGGCAAACAAGGAGCAACAAAAACCCCAGCTGACTTCAAGGGTGGCCAAGTACTGAGTAGTAAAAGACGGTGGAGGTAGGCCCTAAGGTGACGTGCAGAAGGTGGCCCCAAGAGCACTACTGACAGGGCACTTAAGGAAGGAAACCATAAGCGCATGCAGCCCGAGTACCGCAGAATATTACTCCTGGCTCACACCACCTGTAGAGACAGACCATGCCATAAGGAACAATAACTGGTATCAAAACAGGAGCCAGAGGCACATGACCTGCTAGTATCACATCAGCCAAGAACTGCTGGTTTGATTGCCAGTGCGAAGGTCTGGGTCTCCCCCTTCCCTCTCCCCGGGAGGGAGGTGGGGGGTTGCATAAACAGCGGCACAGCAACGTGATGAGGACATGCACGTTTGTGGAGTTTTGTCCATTCGTTCAGCTTTCAGAAGCAATATTTTCACCAAAATAGGGGTTTGTTTTGAGGTGCCCATCTTTCTGGGTGCCAGACTCGGTTGATGGCAGACATGAATGCTCCCAACCACACGGAGGTTTCTATAGGCCATTGCTCCTTGTGCCTCTGAAGGGGGCAGGTTCTGGCTCATGGTTCCCAGTAGGCAAGAACTCCATGCAATTTGATGCCATAAAGCTAATAGTTACACATCAGCTTGGATAGTTCCGCAGAGCCAATGGGGCTCCCCTCAGAAACACACACATTGTGGCACCAAACACAAAATTTATTTATGTAGCAAAGTTCATTAGTAATGGAAGACCCCAAAAATGGATAGATTCATTTGAGTGATGCATCACTGCCAGAAAATAGTTTCAAATTAAATATTAGCAAACATTCCAGCTTCAGCAAGAATACCCAGCCTGGTATTCTTGCCAGTGAGCGTGACATACACAAATATATGTTGCTAGAATAGTATGATAAACAACCTAATTTAAGGTACACATGATAATAAAATTCTCTGCACTTCTATTCAAGTATTTATTTCCTAATATAAGCTACATCTTTTTCATGTACATTTTCTTTCTTAGATGTAGAGAGAAAGTTATGCTTGGATATCGGGTAGTTTGTAAGTAATGTACCCTTCAACATTTTGTTTATCGAATTTACACAAACCTTGTTAACCACAGAGTATTCAACAAAATGTTTCCAGCGCACACAATTCCTAATCATTCTTGCCATTGTCTTGTATAACACCATCTTCTTTAAGACTTATAATTACCTTATGTTAACTTTTTTTGCCTCTCCAAAGAACTATTTTCAGGATTTTTTATTGCCATCTAATTCTAGCACAGTAAAAAAAATATATTCCAAATAAACACCAATTATTTATTCACAATTTATTTTTATCATACTAACATGGTACACTAAAATTTTAAGTTTGTTAACAGATATAAAATGGAAAAAAAACGTAGACATTAAAATAACAAATGTGAATGTACAAAATATATTTAAGTCTTATAAACTACTGAGAAGATCCCATTTCTTGGTGACACTCAATCTTTACATAGCAAAAGGTATTTATTACATTTGGTATGTCTAAACTAAGAAAAGCAGACCGTCTGAAACCATTATCTGGTTAGCATCAGTCATCATTTCAATAGCAGCATCAACATCTTCTTGCGTAAAGGGTTCGGACACATGTTCAGCATTAATGAACTCTACAACTCTTGTCATAGCTAATGTTTGAGCTCGCTCCTGAAAGATAAAAGTAAATGCTGGAATTAAGTGATCAATAAATAGAAGTTGTGAAGCTGTTCTGAGTTATATACTATATTTGCCAGCATATAAGACTCACTTTTTCCCTTATTAAATGTATAAAAAAATTGCCCTGCGTCTAATGCGGCCGCATTACGGACGGAAGACCAAGCACCGTTGGCTAGGGAGCCGGACGAACATATTGGGCAAATTTGCTAGGCACAAAAATCATTCCTAATAAAATATTGAGAACAAGCCAAATTATTACAGCAAATTGTTACTAATAATAAAATATTGAAAACCAGCAGTTATCACAAACATACAAAAAATTGCTAATGATACGTCGGCAGTTATGAGGGAAGCTCATCATCATCTCGCCCCCTTACCTAGCATACATTATGTTTTCCCCACACCTGATATACAATGCTTCCTTATGATTTTTTATGAATTTAATTTACACAATTGAATCCGTTCCCAGAAACGGGTCAAAACACAAAAATTCCTAACCTGAAACGGATTTTCCCATAAGAAATAATGTAAATTGAATTAATTTGTGCCACACCCCCAAAAATATTAACTTCAAAATACATTTCATACATAATACAGACAGCACAATAGTATGTACAAGTTATAGCTTACCTTTATTGAAGACTCTTGTTGGCATATGGAATACGGTGAGGAGGGGGAAGGAGAGGAGGAGAGGTGTTAGGTAATTACTAAGTGTAGTTACAGGATGAGAGCTACGCTCATGGTGTCCCGTCTTCCCAGCACTCTTTGTCATATAACGCTTTGAAACTACTAACGGTCTTGGCCTCCACCACCTTCTCACCTAACTTGTTCCAACCGTCTACCACTCTGTTTGCGAAAGTGAATTTTCTTATATTTCTTTGGCATCTGTGTTTAGCTAGTATATATCTATGACCTTTTGTTCTTAAAGTTCCAGGTCTCAGGAAATCTTCCCTATCGATTTTATCAATTCCTGTTACTATTTTGTATGTAGTGATCATATCACCTCTTTTTCTTCTATCTTTCAGTTTTGGCATATTTAATGCCTCTAACTTCTCTTCGTAGTTCTTGCCCTTCAGTTCTGGGAGCCACTTAGTAGCATGTCTTTGCACCTTTTCCAGTTTGTTGATGTGCTTCTTAAGATATGGGCACCACACAACCGCTGCATATTCTAGCTTTGGCCTAACAAAAGTCGTGAACAATTTCTTTAGTATATCGCCATCCATGTATTTAAAAGCAATTCTAGAGTTAGAAAGTGTGGCATAGGCTCCTCGCACAATATTCTTTATGTGATCCTCAGGTGATAGTTTTCTATTTAGAACCACCCCTAGATATCTATCTTTATCAGAATTCTTTAAAGATTTCTCACATAATATATAGGTTGTGTGGGGTCTATGTTCTCCTATTCCACATTCCATAACATGGCATTTATTAACATTAAATTCCATTTGCCAAGTGGTGCTCCATATACTTATTTTGCCCAGGTCATCTTGAAGGGCATGACAATCATCTAAGTTTCTTATCCTTCCTATTATCTTAGCATCATCAGCAAACATGTTCATATAATTCTGTATACCAACTGGTAGATCATTTATGTAGACAATAAACATCACTGGTGCAAGAACTGAACCCTGTGGTACTCCACTTGTGACATTTCACCAGTCCAATACATTGCCTCTGATCACTGCCCTCATTTTTCTATCAGTCAGAAAATTTTTCATCCATGTTAGAAGCGTACCTGTCACCCCTCCAATATTTTCCAGTTTCCAGAACAACCTCTTATGTGGAACTGTCAAAAGCCTTTTTTAGGTCCAGATAGATGCAGTCAACCCAACCCTCTCTTTCCTGTAATATCTCTGTTGCTTGATCATAGAAACTGAGTAAATTCGATACACAGGATCTTCCAGATCGAAAACCATACTGTCTGTCTGAAATTATATAATTTCTCTCCAGGTGTTCTACCCATTTAGTTTTAATTATTTTTTCCAATATTTTGACTATTACACTTGTCAATGATACCGGTCTATAATTAAGGGGGTCTTCCCTGCTTCCACTTTTGTAGATTGGAACTATGTTAGCCTTTTTCCACACATCAGCTACAACTCCTGTAAACAGGGATGCCTGAAAAATCAGTTGAAGAGGAATGCTGAGCTCAGGTGCACTTTCTCTCAGAACTCATGGTGAAACTCCATCTGGACCAACTGCCTTGTTCTTATTTAGCTCCTTGAGCATTTTTTCCACTTCGTCTCTAGACACCTCTATGTGCTCTATGTTGTTCTCTAGAATTCTTATTGTATCTGGTTCCCTGAAGATTTCATTTTGTACAAACACACTTTGGAACTTTTCGTTTAATGTTTCACACATTTCCTTTTCATTTTCCGTGAATCTATTTCCCATTTTCAACCTCTGTATATCATCCTTTACCTGCAATTTGTTGTTTGTTTTGTGGCGCTTACCTTTCTGGGTGCCTGTCCTGGTCGATGTCAGATACAGAATGCTCCAAATCACATGTGCACTTCTATGGGCCATTGCGTCTCGTACCTCTGAGGGGGGCCAGATTTTGGCTCTAGGTCCCTGGTAGGCCTAGAACTCCACCCACATTGACTGATGCAAAATAATTAGGTATCCATATTAGCCTACCTTACCTTGAGGTTACCTTGAGGTGCTTCCGGGGCTTAGTGTCCCCGCGGCTCGGTCGTCGACCAGGCCTCCTGGTTGCTGGACTGATCAACCAGGCTGTTAGACGCGGCTGCTCGCAGCCTGACATATGAGATTTTGTAATTTTTGAGCCTGGATAGCTCAGGGGGAGCCATAGGGGGCTCCCCCCAGAAAATAACTAAAAAATAAAAAACTGGCCTAAAAATTACATCAGTTCAATCATGTAGGTAACTAATATGAACTCTTGCAATAAATATAAAAAAAGTGAGTTAGATGCAGAGACTTGGGGGAGGGGGGAGGAGGTTAAAGGAGAAGAGAGAGAAGGGAAAGAGAATGAGCAGAGAATAAGAGAAGGAAGAGAGGATAGGAAGCAGGGAAGACTAAGGGTTAAGTAGTGGTTTTGGAGACTGCAATACAAAAAATGTGATATATAAGCAATAAAATATTGGACAGGCACTGTATTAAATAAATAAACTTTACCTCTTTCATTAGTTTTAATAAAGATGCTTTGAAACTTTCCAGTCTACCCGCACTGATTCTTTTAGGTGTAGAGGAAGATGAAGATTCTGCACTGGGCTTGGAGGCTTTGCTGACAGCACTTCGTACTGAGGCAGATGATGGAGACATAGGCTCAGTATCCTCCTCTGCACTCTCTATGTCATATGGGTCATATCCTGAAAGATTGTTTTTCTTTACTAAATTGATAACACTGTACATTAAAAAAATATATTCAATGTAAAAGGGAAATCAAGAAAGGTATTCTTAGTTCGGCACATCGTAAGATTTGAATATTGGTGTAAAAATGCACAGGCTGGTGCAATGAGCCTAGGATATGAAAATGGGCAGATGCTACTTTTGCAGATATTTCTTTCTTGTAAACAGACGCCATTTAAAAAAAAAAATCGTGAGCAATATTCTCAGGTGTGAGAGGCACAGTACTGTTGGAGCAACCAAGGCTGGCGCATGCAGCATGAGCGAACAGCATTGCTGTTCAGCTTGTGACCACAGCATCGCCGAAAAATGTCAAAATAAATATATAATTGCTATTATTTAGCGATGACAATATTACAGATGACCCCTGACTGTGATATAAATAACCAGGGTTGTGATAATAGCAGGATTATTGTAATAATTAGCACTGTGGGACGAGTGATGCCATGAGCCCATTGCCATGAGGCTCTATTTTTTTTTAAGTTCAATTTATGTTTTTGTTTGTTTATTTATGGAAGCTAACTCAATTTTTTTTTAGATATACTCTCAGCATTTGGAGAAAAATAGCATGAACAAAGGTTATTAAACAAGAGACCTGATTTCAAGAGATGCAAACAAGTTACATGAATTAGTGTTTTTCCCAGTCTAGTGACAGGTAAGTGGTAGTCTGTGATGCGCTAGCCATGTCAGTGTCATCCTACCCACTGTTCATGAATCCAACTTTATGGAAGTAGATGCTTTTCTTTGGAGCAATTGAATGTACCAACTCATAACTTGCATATATCAATAAGTAAGTGAACAAGGGTTGTGTGATTATAACCTTGATATTTAGTACCCCGCCTACTCCATCCTGCCTGATTCAACTGGGCAGGTACTTGGGGAGCACAAAACTGAACTGAAGAGCTCGAGGAGATTAATGCAATAACCAAGAGAAACGTATTTAAATTTAATTTTAACATGTACAACAGCTTAAGGCATCAGAGAGAGCATTAAGGCATTAAGAGAGCCGGTCGGCCGAGCGGACAGCACGCTGGACTTGTGATCCTGTGGTCCCAGGGTCGATCCCGGGCGCCGGCGAGAAACAATGGGCAAAGTTTCTTTCACCCTATGCCCCTGTTACCTAGCAGTAAAATAGGTACCTGGGTGTTAGTCATCTGTCACGGGCTGCTTCCTGGGGGTGGAGGCCTGGTCGAGGACCGGGCCGCGGGGACATTAAAAAAGCCCCGAAATCATCAAGATAACCTCAAGATAAGATCATAACTAACCTTCATCGCCAGGCTTCTTCTTTGGTTTCTTTGATTTTTTCTCGGAGTCACCCGTAGGCCTTCTCTTCCTCTTTCTACCACCTTCCTCCTCCCCTTCATCTTCAGTTTCTGTTGCACTTTCATCATCACCTCTGCTCTTCTTTTTCCTTTCCATCACCTGGAATTAATAACCAATTTCAGAAATAATACAAGATTATATTAGAATTATATTAAAATTGTCCTGATTTTTACCAATATGCAAGTCACATTATATATATTAATCATTATGACTGATTTGATATTCAAAATACAATTTTTCCATCACATTAAATACTTTTCAGGAATACAGTAAACTAATGAACAAATAACAGCAGCAATAATGATAGCATACTTTTTTAAAGTAAGCATAGGATACCATCTCAATGGCTGCTTCTGCATCTTCCACACCTACAACACGAGAGAGTCTGGCTTTGGCATGGGCAGTAGACAAACGAATAAGTGTCTCCAAGGCACGAGCAGTTACAGGTTGCGTCTGTAAGAGAATATAAAAATATAGCATGGTACACTCAATTTACCTTCATTTTGAATGTCTTTTGCCTAGCAGCTATTTTTTCCTTCGAGAATGAGAGAAAAATGAAAGTAGAAATAAGATATAAAATGCTAATTTCCTCATTAACAATCCAAATTTTGCTATAGTTTAAAATGATAACTTCAATAGCTGGATCATTGAAAGCATTGGGTGAAGACTAATTTTGGAGAAGAGACTTGAGATCTGCATACTGCCACACAAATGGACAATTTGTGTTACCATCAGCTAACTTTTGTGCTAAAACTGTGCAATGATCTGTATGATATTAAAGTATAATCATCTAAATATACAGCACAATAGATAACATTACTGACATGTCCCACTCTGATGAACCCTCTTAATGTCATGTCATTCCCTAATCTTACTAGACCTTTTCTCTCGTCATTCCCATGGTCTGTTGTTTCCTGCCTCCTTAGTAATGCTGTCTGGCAGCTTGTGGGACATGCTTTTTTCCATTTAGGAGTTTCTCTACAGAGTTAAAACCCAAATTAATGCTTGGGTGTCTTATGAGAAATTGCCCCATTGCCTTCATATTTCATCATGTGCAGAGCTCTCTGACAATGTGTCTTTCAGTTTGGTTAATGCATGGTATAACATTATTTCCCAAGTCTGCTTCTTAGGCCTTCAATATTTAGCTTTGGACAGGGTTTACTTCCAATGAGCTTTTCAGATGGCAACCAGGGGGCCTCGTAGCCTGGTGGATAGCGCGCAGGACTCGTAATTCTGTGGCGCGGGTTCGATTCCCGCATGAGGCAGAAACAAATGGGCAAAGTTTCTTTCACCCTGAATGCCCCTGTTACCTAGCAGTAAATAGGTACCTGGGTGTTAGTCAGCTGTCACTGGCTGCTTCCTGGGGGTGGACGCCTGGTCAAGGACCGGGCCGCGGGGACACTAAAGCCCCGAAATCAACTCAAGATAACTCAAGATAACCACTTGCCCTTCGTTTACTTGTGCCAGGTGCCATATTCTTCACTCTACATCATACCTCAGATACCTCTGGAGGAAGAGATATTTCTGCCTAGCTAGGTATTGAGCTGCTATCTGGTGATTTTCAATAAGAAACCAGGTAGTCTACCCAGCAGTCACCTGTGATACCAAGAATGAGTTCTGAAGGGAGTAGATTTGCATAAGTTGGCTTCTGTTGGTCATTCTGAAATCTATTTACACTGTTGGAATGTTACTCTGCAGCACCTGAATAGGAATATCATTCTTCCTGATTGAAAATGATCCTGTCCATGGACATAAAGGGATCTTACTATAGGAAGCAATCAAATGATTCTGCTAAAAATGCACCTCTTAATATTAATACAAAACCCTATTTTTGTATTTTATTAATTTAGGAAATTTAATTTGAGATAAGAGTGGGTTTTATAAAAAGTTGCCTGTAATGGTTGAAGATTAAGTGATGTTGACCAAGGTCCATGTCTAAAAAGCAGCACTCCTACTAGAAGATTATTTTCATGTGTCCAGATCAATGAAAAACACAAAATATCACCTACTCGTGCCATATCTGAATGTTGTGTGTCCTGGGATCGAAGCCTAGAATATTCTTCAGCAATAACTTCACAAGCTTCTCGAGTAAGAGTAGGTTTAATACTCTTAGCAATATGGATGTATTTCCTCATGAACTTGATGCTTACAATTTTATCTCTGCAAGTGTAAAGAATAAAAAATAAAATTAACTATACAATGTTACATTCAACAACAGCTTTTGCTTCACCTTCAAGCTAAAATATTTTATTATTTCTACAGTATCAAAGCAAATTTATCACATTTCAATCCTCACTTCTTTGACCGGAGACTGCCGTGAAGAAGAGCATCATATTTCTCATAAATCGGAGTCTCTGTTTCCTCATCTTCGACAATATCAGGATTGTGCGTTGACAATATGTCCACTCCAATGCCCATGGGAAGAGCTTCGCCATCTTGTTCATGTTGAGATCTGTGTTAATTTAAAATATTTCAGCATCTTCTAAAGTTACCTACAACAAACCCTAAATGAGAGAACTCTGATAAATTCACTAAACACGAGACATGCTTTTAGCATCAAAATCAACATTATATATATTACGGAACTTTCTAGAGTATCATTTGTATGAGATTACTGGTAGTCTCTCAGCAACAGGAAATTATTAGTAGCTATGGATATTTTTAAGATATTACTTAAGCTCTTCCTTTCTTCCTTAATGATTTTAAACTTCAAAAGTCTGCCACAAGGGGACTACATGGTCCAACAACAATAGACATCATCCTTGCACCACTATAAATAATTCTGAAAGCTTGAGGGCAAAATATGAAGGCACTTACCAGTCATTGCACAGATTTTGGAACAAAGAAGAAGAAAATTTAGTGAAAATGGTAAGGCTTCCCTTCACATTACACCTAATAATGGGCAGAATGCTTCAGGTACAATAATGCCAGAATATAATCCAAAACAATTGTGAAACAAGAAATATGGCTCAGGGACTCAAACTGTCAAAAGCAATCAACACTACCCTGTACTTTAAAACTTGGGATGTAAGTGAATAACCATGTATCTTCAAAACTGATACCCAATACTACTCTAAACAAATCACAAAGCAATGCATTGATCAGAATGGCCACTATATTAAAGGTAAAGCCTATTAGAAAAACAAAATGGCTTTGTGGAAACAACCTACACCACACAATACTTTTACTTATGTGTTGTTTACTTAGCTGTTGGCAATACACATGTACAGCATCCACTCAAGTTGACCTATATGGACAATACCCTACTCCCTAACTCTGAATGGTTGCTAAATCCGAGGTTGTTAAATGTTACTAGCGTACATTAAGCAATTTTCAGGGCCCCTTAAATATCTTTTCCTTATCCACTTAACTGCGCCAACCGAGTATTCTCGGTCGGTGGGAAACTGCGCCAACCGAGAAAACTTTTTTTTTTTTTTCGGTACCAATTCAAAATGTGTATGAGGTTGGTTGTGTACGAAATGGACTCTTAGGACCTCCAGTGAGAGGCAGCCATCTTGGAAAAAATTCCCAGAATGCCCTAGGGCCTGGGAATACCCTGCTGGCTGGGTAAGTACTGAATGAGCAACCATGGGTGGCGCACGCGCCTCTGGCTCCCAAACACCTGTCCGACGCGGTGTTGAAAGATAACGCTGTCAGTGAAATTCAAACCTTATTGTTGGAAGATGATAAGGGTCATAATATTGGTGAAGCTAGGCGCAATAATGACCTAACACAAACGTCGGATGCAAGCGATACAGCACCTATGAGGACGATACAGCGAGCGTATCCAGTTGTAGCTCTGAGCATCAGCCTTGCAATCCTATGCTATCTCCAATTTAGTTAGATGATACATAGATTAATCATTTTCTGCATTCAGTGATGATGCATCTGATACAAGTAGCATTGATGAACAGTGTTAGCGGCTAACATGGTTGTGTTTTCCATAGATATTTTCAAGAATACCTGAATCTCTTTTTAACCGACGGACACTCTTTGAGGCTAGCTGAATCTCTTCCTGTGTGGGACCATACAAAGCGATCTTTTCAAGACTACCCTACAAATTTATCTTTTCCTATAATCTTTTCAATACTACCTTATGCTTTACAAGCTTGGCTACATACAACCTACAAGTACTAAAGCAAAGGGTGTACGTGAGTGCGTTATTCGCAAGCACACACAATGAAGAAACAGGAAGCGAAAATTTATCTGTACCTGGTGCACTGGGAGCGAAGTTGCGCTATGTACCATGGACTACTTCGTTGATTATTACTCACTTCCGAAGTACTGAGTATGTAATACAGTGTTACTGTGTAAATAGTGTGTGAAACTGAACATATTGTAATTTTAGCGAATTTTTAACAGGTAATATTGCAACAATAAACATTTATTGTGGATACATTACTGACACATGTATGTTCCATGGAACATTATGAACGTTCTACTTTATACACATTGTAAAGGACACAAATATGCATCATATACGATAAAAAAACAAATAAAACCGCATTGGAAATACATAAAACAAATAATTGAAAATATATTTGTGGCAACACCTGGTGCTTGAATGGCCCGCGCGACCGTGTCTGGGCGATTCACGCACGGGCTACCAGGCCCTGATGACGTCACAACGCACCTTGTCCACGTCCCCACAGCCAAAGTAAGTGGAATTTGGTATTTATTTTTACAGAGATATGTTCAGGGAAGGGAATTTATCATTATACGAAAAAAATAAAAAATTGATTTGGGAACACCATTTCATGCTCACCGGGAGAATTCCACAATAAACTCGGCACAGCACGGTGGTTAAGGAAGTTAAATCACTCACTAACACTCATCACTTCCACCCACCCACCCACCAACCCTAGTCCCTCCCTCCCACATACAACACTCTTCCTTCCCACACATCTGCAGAGAACTCCTGCTACATTCCCCACAGCCACTCCTGAGAAAACACTACTACATTGCCACATTGCTAACTTTCCCACACTATAAGGAACTTGGCAAGTTAATTAATGAATTTGGATGAAAACGCATTGTCAGGCAAGGACGTAAATGAGATGTATGCCAAATTTGGCACTGGTACATTCTCTACATCCACTCTACAAAAACTGTGAAAAACACTGGCCTAACAAAGGCCAAGTTGCATCACAACAAAACCAACAATGGCTGCCTGTTTACCTAGTGACAAGCTTGGTAAATCCAGTAATTCAGTAACCACGATCTGCCTTTACTGGTCTCGAAACTGACTATAAAAATCCAGCAGAATGCTAAATCTGATTTCCTTAAATTGGATAGATACCATATATTAAATTTACAAAGCCATTTTTTTTTTGGGGGGGGGGGGGAGTCGGGGGAGGCGGAGGGGGATTTTGTATGTACTGATTGCGACTGGGAAAATGTACCCTAAGAACTATCTTATTGGGAATAAATTGGTATGCTAAATTGACAAAATTAGGCCACCAGAACTATTTTACCTTCTGCAAAGTCACTTCTTCATCTCTCCATCTACAAGTGATTCTTTGATCAACCTAGGAAATTTAGCCAACAAAGAGGTACATCAGAATCATGGCTGCCACTTATTGTATGCAATATATGCAATGTCTAAGCAACATTAATGCAAGGCTACTGTATCACTAGTTTTTCCATGCAAGGTAAGTATTCTCTAACATTATTACTCTTAATTTACCTGTATTATTACTGCCTGTTTATTAGAGAAATATTATTTAGGTTATGTTATGAGGATTTGTAATGAAACGTGAAACCTTTCAACTTTCAAGGGAGAGGTGATGCAGTGTGTACAGGTATGGATGATGATTAATTGTGTTAATTACAAATGGCAGTATTGTATATTTGTTAAAATTAATATTTAAAACAAAGAACGATATATTTTGCAAACAAATTTACGTATAAATGATACATTTTCACATCCGTGCTTAAACAAGAGGAGTTAGGAAGGACTGCTGACAGGAATCATAGAAGATAGAAATGTGAAAGCTACCAACCCACCTCCAGGGGGACGAGTTTTCTGAAAATTGCAGTTTTGAGTTTGGGCAGCTTAATCAGTCCACTTGCATCTAACCTATCTTGCATGAATCTCGATCTGCCTGCCTACCTGTCCTACACACACACATTAGAAAGCAAAATACTGTTCATTTGTAGCCGTCTAGTAGGGAGTACCTAGCTGATAAAGTCGCTAACCTTTGAAACTGGCCTTTACTCTCCTAGTTCTTGCAGATATGAGGTTAACATTTATTTTATGTTTAATAAAGAATAACCGACATATTTCTAGCACCACAGTCATTGCATACTATTGCTTTATTGTCACATTATACATTAGAAAAGGAAGATTGAGTTACTTTCCCTGTCAACAGGCTCACCTTATAAAAAAAAGTGATAATTTAGGAATACCACACACACAATTACCGAATCCCCATAAAAACACTAGAACAAATTAATTTAGGTAAGTATAGTTCTCTGAATGTAAATTTTCCATTGCAACTCAAAACCAAATTGCTTTGTTCAAGCATCATCACTTGTTGCTTGAATTTTTAACAAGCCTCACTAAAATACAGTATTTAATGAGTGTGCTTTAGTGGTATACTGCATTTGATTAAAAAAAAAAAACATTACTTACAATAAACTTATAAACATTCACAACTAACCTGTAACGATGCATTCGCACTACATGATCAGAGATTTTTCTGTCACTTTCAGGATCTGCAATATCTAGCATGATAAAAAGACAATCAAAACGTGACAGTAGTGAGTCCTGCAAACCAATATTTTCCATTGGAGTTTTATATTGATCGTATCGACCATATACTGGGTTAGCAGCAGCCAAAACTGAGCACCGTGCATTGAGACTAGCATGGATACCAGCTTTTGAAATAGTGACTCTGCCTTGTTCCATCACTTCATGAATAGCTGTTCGGTCCATATCACTCATTTTATCAAATTCATCAATGCACACAATTCCACGGTCACCAAGAACCATTGCCCCAGCCTCCAGCCTGTAGAGAAAACAAAAGCATCAAGACAGTGTTCATAATCACTTTCAATGAATCTACTTTTCCAACACTTTCGCCCTACGAAAAAAAACCAGCGTTGAATATAATGAAACGCCAATTTCTGGGCAAGCCCTGTTGACTCCCTGAATATCCAAGTTGATGTGTGCTATATTAGTTTGGAATTTTCTTATTATTATCTTAAGATGTTTTTTGGGGCTTAGCGTCCCCGTGGCCCGGTCTTCGACCAGGCCTCCTTTTTGTTACACTCCCCCAGGAAGCAGCACATAGCAGAGGAGCCATTGTACAACCGAGCCCACAAGAGTTTTCCAGGACATGTAGGATAAATTAGCCCTATGGGAAGCTAAGGCACTGAGGCTCCCTGTCTAGTAGCAGCAGTTAAACCTTGGGGCCAACAGAGGAGGAGGACCAACAACACCAAAGCTAGCCTAACAAGAAGCTAGGCAGACCACCTCTGTCCATAAAAGGCAAAAATACCTTTAAAGAAAATGAAAAGCCCCCGAAGAAACAACAAACAAACTAGCCACCAAAGAGAAGCATCGGTCACCGAGTTGCAGTAAAGCAGGCTGCGCCAGCCACAGCGTGCCCCACCCAGCCAAAACATTTCCCCACCCGGGGCAAGACGGAAAGCATAAGACCCCCAACGTACCCCAAGGGTGAAGACAACCTCAAGCAACGAAGTCTTCTAATGGGGAGCTTTAAAAACTTTATTTTTGGCGCACAGGGGGAATGTCCCAATAAACACGGCGCATCACAGAGATTAAATTTAAAGTGTTCATAGGCCATTGCTCCCTGCATCTCTCTGAGGGGACCAGGTTCTGGCTCATGGTTTCTGGTAGGCATAATGACTCCTGTGACTGATGACCCCAAACTAATATAGCTAATATAATTTGGATAGCTTCAGGGAGCCGACGGGGTCCCCCACAGAAAATGGCTAGTGTCTCAGTTTCATAAACCCACAAAATATTATTACATATATTGTACAATTAATAATGCAGTCTTATTACAATGATTTTAACAACCAATACCTTCTTTCACCAGTCTCATTGTCAGTAGTAACTGCAGCTGTAAGACCAACACCAGAGGACCCTCGGCCAGTGGTAGTGATGGCACGTGGAGCAGTATGAAGTACATACCGCAACAACTGAGATTTAGCCACAGATGGATCACCGATCAGCAGGATATTGATGTCACTAATAAAAATTAAAGGATTCAGTAAATATGATGTAAAAATTAAGATATGTTTTGATTGCATCAAGGCAATCAATAAAAGCCTCCCAGGCACAACATGGCTTAATATAGACTGGTGCAATGAGTATAGAAGATGCTATGATTACAGGAGGACTATACTGATTATAGGAGCATAATGAATTCAAAGAGGGGTAATGAGTACAGAATGACATGAGCAGAGTGAATGTAATGATCATGGGAGGCTAGTGGTTATCTTTAGTGGTGGTGATTACATGTGTTTATGGTGGTTGCTGTGGTAGTATTGGTTACAGTGGTGACACTTAGAGGTTTAACAACAGATGTGATGATAGTTGTAATAGTGGATGAAGTCATAAGTGTGGTGGCTGCAATGGTTGCTTCCACTTGTTGACCACCTTCACAGTATGTGTTTTTTCCTAAATTTCTATACCCAAATTGTTTTCACCTTCCACCCCACGTCTTGTCTAATTTTCCCCAAATTTTAAAGGATGGTCTTGTCCGTTTCTTCTATTCACCTCAAATTTAAAACAATCATATCCTCTAGTCTCTCCTCTGGAGATGTTATGACTACAGTATTTTCTTAACCTGTCTTCACAACAGAGACCACTGTTGGGGGGGGGGGTTATATTTGGAGGCAACGCAGTTAAGGGGTTAATATTTGATCATAGGATAAAGAAAGATGATAAATATAGCGCTGTAATAGCAGAAGGTTTAAATATCAGAATGCATTATGTTGAAAAACAGCTTTAACACCAAGGTTAAACTAAAATTTCCACCACATAGTTTATATTAAAATCAAATTAAGGTATTTATGCTATCTTAAATAATTTTTGTATAATATTGTATTTTGTGAGTTAGTTTTAAAGCTTTTACATACTTATTAGCACTTGGATAAGATTATGTCATCAGAGTTGCAGCTTCAACAACAATGTTTGGTCTGAACACTTTCCAATAAAGTGGAGAGAATTTATAATAATTTACTCTACTAAAATATGTGCAGATTTTTCCATAATTTCCCTTTAATAAAGTTTCCTGACACTGTTTTTTCACTATACTGTACTAATATTGTATCATTAATTAATCAAACAGCATATGGCTTACCAGAAAGCAGAAACAGTTTACAGAGAAAAGCAATTGCTACTTATCAGAAAATGCAGCGTGCAAGTGTCTGAGAGACAACATTCAAGAATGAGAGGTGGCAGGGTTGAGGGATCCTAGAGGCAAGCATGGTGCTGCCACTGGGTTGTATTCGGTGCAGGTGGACAGGATAGCTAACGGGTAATTAATGAGGTCCCTCACTAGTGGTCACCAGTGAAGCTAAAGAGGGGCTCAGAAGGACTGAGTTTACAGGCTACAAAGTGACATGACCATTCTAGGAAGAGCTGAGCAATATATTCTCTAACATCTCTGGCACAGTAAAATAATACATCATGACCCTGTAGGAACCATTGAAGATTAGACCTACCCAACTGTATTATGCTCCCATTCAGACTTAAAACATAAAAAAAAAAATCTATGTATAAATTGTATGGTAGTTCTTGTTGATCACTAATATGAAACAAACACACACAAAATAAAATAAAAGATAGTGCATTAATACTCACCCTCTCAGTCTGGTACCATTAGGAAGTATCTTCTCAACACCACCAAGCAACATACACAGGAGAGCTTTTTTAATGTAATCATGGCCATGGATACTGGGTGCCAGAGATTTGGATAGCAACTCAAATACATCAGTTCCCTGCAAATGATTATTATTTTATCAGAACTACATTACTGCTATAGTGTATGTATGTATGTATGTACTCATCACCAAGTTGTGAGTACATACATAATTGTTAAATATATGGATGATGCAAGAGTTGCAAGGATCCCATATCTCAAGAGACATCAATAAACTGGAAAGGGTGCAACAAAGACATGTACTAAATGGCTTCTGAAACAAACAAAAAGGAGTGAGAGAAAGGGATGCAGTTCAAGTTGCATTTTTTTTTTAAAGAGCATTGAGGAGAAAATGTTAGTCACTAAATAGTTTTGTTGAATACTACAATATACCTGCAACCGTTAGCACTAACCTTTTGTTTTGAAAATTTCTTGCATTTATGGACATCATCTGTCGAGATGTGTGGCGAAACTTCTTTATTCATAGAAATAACATTATTTGCCAACATGATAGTGCGGAATGTTCCACTAGTAAAGGTGCCTTGCTTGTTAGGAAGACAACGGTAGATACCTACAACCTGAAAATTGAAATATTAAAACATACAAGTTGGCATATGTGCATTTTACATTATTATATTCCATTTTAAAATATTATATTCCATACATTACCACCAAGCATTGATAGACCACTCCATGAAAAGTTTAAACTGCATCAGACCTTACTTAAAAATGTATGTATGGAAAAAAGATTACTGCAAAAAAAATCTTGTAAGATATTGGTTAGGGATGGATGAAGAAAAGGGAAAGAATGAGGAATATAAGAAAGAGTAAGAACAAAAATACAAAATTATTTTATAGAAATTTTAACAGTATCGCTCGCTTTGGACACCGATCACGTCCATTTTTTTTTTCTGGAGTCCTAGCAGTGGACAGGACTCGAGTCCACTACAAAAATATTTGTATAAAATTCATTTTTTATCCGATCGACCTCAGGATAGTTTCAAAATAAGCACCATAAGAATGTGCACAATTTGATACCAAAATGAAAGATGTAACACAAAACTTGATGTCAGAACACTAGAAAGATTATAAATGCATTTTTGGGTCTAAATTTTAAATTTTAAAATATTTGTTAAAATTCTATTTATTGTCCTATTATTATGAGACTAGTTTTAAAATGTGCACTTTTATATTGCGAACAATTTGATACCAAAACGAGCGATATAACATGAAAATTGATGTTATCAAACTGAACGAGTATACTGTACACATTAGGTTGTGGTGTGCAAATTGGTACTCGGTCACGGGTAATTTTAGGGAGTCTCACCAGTCTTCTGGACATTATATGCATATAAATCTGCAGGGAATTTTATTGCGAACACAATGATACCAAAACGAACGACGTGGCACGAGAATTAAGGCGAGAAAACTGAAACGAGTATACACATTTAGGCGTTGCCGCACGCTCGCCCGTACCATTAGCCCCATGACGTCAAAGTCTGTGGTGCTCACGTGGTGCGCGCGATAGTGTTAAATAGTCAAGTGGAGAAGTGAGGAGGGATAAATAGTGTAAAAGATGTGTGGTAAAATAGTGACAGATGTGCATATGTAGTGAATTGTTGACAGATATGCATGTCAACATCAGATGGAGTGAATACTTAGAGCAACAATTGAAAATGGTAATGGAAAGGCAAAAAAAAACATGTTTAGACATTAGCTTAGCAAGTTCAAAATAACTTGTGAAACAGGAAAGATAGATAGAAGGAGAATTAAAGAAGTTATGAATAGGTTAAAGGTAATAAGGCTTTTAATGTTGATGAAATAACTGCATATACAGAACTAAGAGGGCACCCAGCCCAGGGCCAACCCTTCCACCCCTTTCTTGTCTTCCACTCCCTCCCTCCCTCTCACCCCCCCCCCCCCTTTAGCACGTTTTTTTTCCCGTACAATATTACTAATAGCATAATAAGAGCAAGTATTGAGGGAGGTTTTAAAGATATTCAATTGTAGAAGATTGAATAAAAGGATTGGTTAATGAAAATCTTTCATGAAATATGAAATCTTTTATAAGAATAGAGCCTGTGATATTAAGGAGATTAGTGACAAAATTTATTGATAAACAGTAAAGAATTATCACTGGGTTTTTTATATACATGGACTGGTTAGTTGAGGTAAATGCAAGAGCACCTAGAGTAGGAGTAGACTGTACTGGTAATAAATTGTAATTATTGACATGTGTATGCAAATGTGATCTTTGCTAAGCGAGGAAGAATTGGAAGTGAGAGCAAATTTAATAGTGTGAGCACAAGAAAAAAGTTGAAGGTCACTGTAAGAGATATTCTTCTAAAATTTGTCAGAAAAAAGTGAATTTTGAATATTCTTATTGAGTAGCAAGATATTATTAGAAGATAAAATAAAGATATATTAGAAGAGGTATAATATTTGAAATACTTGAAAGTTGTGTTTCACAAAAAAGGGTGAATGTATACTGTATATGATAACTGAGTAATGAACCAGAGGAGAGCTGATAATTATAATGACAGTAAGAATGCTAGGATGAGGTTAAGAAAGAATAGTACACTACTATGAGGTTAAGAAAGAATAGTACACTACTATGAGGTTAAGAAAGAATAGTACACTACTATGAGGTTAAGAAAGAATAGTACACTACTATGAGGTTAAGAAAGAATAGTACACTACTATACAAAAGTGGAACCTTGGTAAGGAAAGGGAAAGGATGCCCAAATGTACAATAAATGGAAATTACATTGAAAAAAGCAGTATGTAGGACAAGTATAGCAATGAAGTATGCGAGATGTGGCACGAGAGAAAAAGATGAGGGAATGAAACGCGGAGTGGGTGCATGCAGAGCGGGTGTATCTGGAGTGTGTGCATGTGGAGCAGGTGAAACAAAACACACTTTTGAGGTATAGACTTGTTACAAGGATGCCTGAGAATCATTAGCAAGAAGGTTGTATAAAGGTGAAATAAAAGGATCACTTGGTATAGGTAGACAACCATTAAAAGGGAGAATGGAACAATATATTACAGGATAGGGCAAGAGATAGAAAGTTTGAAAGTGAAAGATTCATGCCATAATGCTTCCTGGAGAAAGTTCTGCTGTGACTACTCTTAGATGAAGAGCTCCCAGTAGGGAGTAAGGCATAAATTTTATATGAAGAGAATGGGACTTTAAATTTATATTTTAACAAATTTACCGAGTCCCCCTTCTAATATACCTGAAATTTTAATACAAATACAGCATTTCAATTTCAACCCTTAAATTTGAGAACATACACTAAAGAACAAGCAAAAATAACAAAGGGGAGGGTAGGTTTAATAATAGTTAGCACATATATAACTGTGAATGTTTAGTGGCTTTATAGAAAATAAAACATACCATAGTAATTATTATAATTAGAGCCTCAAAAATTCTGAAAATATTTATTATTATACTGGGCAAGACAAACCTTTGTGCATTTACCTGAATTCTATCTCCAGGTTTACACTTGTCTACCAGGTCATTGTCCAACACAATATCAACAGAACGTGGTAACTGGCCAGCGGGGGCTTTCTCCGGCATTTCCTGGATTGTTATAGTTTGATGATCCTTGTAACAACAAAGTCCATATTCAGTCTCCAATAGATTGCCTGAAAAAAACTTTTATTTATATATCAATATGTAAAATATATAAAATATAAATAAATAAATATATATATATATATGTCGTACCTAGTAGCCAGAATGCACTTCTCAGCCTACTAGGCCTGAAAGGGAGGGGAGAGCTGCGCAGACAAACGGCACGGCAACGTGGTGACGTCGTGCTTGTTTACCCGTTTTTGTTTGGGGAGTTAGGTCCACTAGTTCGGCTTTCAGTAGCAATTTCTTAACCAGAATAGAGGTCTGTTTTAGGGTGCTTATCTTTCTGGGTACCTGACCCGGTTGATGGCAGACATAGAATGCTTCCACCCACATGGGGGTTCATAGTCCCTGGTAGACCTAGAACTCCATTCACAGTGACTGATGACAAAGTCTAATATATATCAGCCTGGATAGCTCTGGGGAGCCGAAGGGGCTGCCCCCCAGAAAATGAAGGGTGTACATTATACAATAATATAAATAACAAAAAAGTTGAACAAACCATCTTCATCTTGTGTTGGATATAAAGCCGAGGATGGATATGGATCATAAGACGTCATATCTGTATAGCGTCTTTCTAAAGTCTTTTTTGTAGTAGGGCAGTAGTGAACAGACCGTACAACTTTTGGCCGTACCAACGAACCTGGAAAATTAAATATGACAAGGTTAGCAAATGCATATATAAATAGGCACATGTCACATACTTGCAGATCAAACAAATTAAAAAAAAAAAAAATTGGATAATTAGTTTCTAGCATGCATGGCAATGGTAACAAAAATCCAAGTTAATAAAGTTATTGAATAACTCAGACCAAGTGTTCAGCAAATCATACATCGTGGAGATATTACCTCAAATTTAAAGAAATTGTTAAAATATATGCATAAAGAAAAAAATGCGATTCTAAACAACATACTGTATCTAAATTTCCCCAGCAGAGCATCTAGTATTGAAAAGTGTTCTCAAAGCAAATTATTTTGTAAAGCTGCAAAATATACAAAAATAACATACTAATGTTATTACAAATAACAAAAATAACAAAAACATACAAAAATATACAAAAATAACAAATTAGCAGCGAGACTGAAGATTGACTACAATCACTTTGTATGATGCAAATCTAAAGTGACAATACCTATTCTATAAAAAAAAAACTTACATTTTGTAACAATGCCTTCCACACACACTAAATTTCCAAGATTTCTTGCATTCAGTGTTCTAGGAGAAACATGTTTACTGCCAAAGCTCCCTTCAAATCCAACAAAGAGTTCTTCTTGTGTCTTGGCATAGTTAATGTCAACCGATGCTACAAACTCCTTTAGGGCACGATGAAATGCTGGCAGTTCTTCGTAAGCAGAATTCAAAAGCCTGAAAATAATCTATGTTAAGAATTACTGCAATTCTTTGGCAAAGCACTGATCCAACTTATTTAAACTAACAATTTGGAAGTTTATAGAAAATAAAATGCTTATACTGTATTTCCAAATATAATTCACACACACACACATTATAATATATATATATATATATATATATATATATATATATATATATATATATATATATATATATATATATATATATATATATATATATATATATATATATACACACACACACACACACACACACACACACACACACACACACACACACACACACACACACACACACACACTGTATATATATATATATATATATATATATATATATATATATATATATATATATATATATATATATATATATATATATATATATATATATATATATATATATATATATATATATATATATATATATATATATATATATATATATATATATATATATATATATATGTCGTACCTAGTAGCCAGAACGCACTTGTCAGCCTACTATGCAAGGCCAAATTTGCCTAATAAGCCAAGTTTTCCTGAATTAATATATTTTCTCAATTTTTTTCTTATGAAAAGATAAAGCTACCCATTTCATTATGTATGAGGTCAATTTTTTTTATTGTAGTTAAAATTAACGTAGATATATGACCGAACCTAACCAACCCTACCTAACCTAACCTAACCTATCTTTATAGGTTAGGTTAGGTAGCCAAAAAAGTTAGGTTAGGTTAGGTTAGGTAGGTTAGGTCGTCGAAAAACAATTAATTCATGAAAACTTGGCTTATTAGGCAAATCGGGCCTTGCATAGTAGGCTGAGAAGTGCGTTCTGGCTACTAGGTACGACATATATATATATATATATATATACACACACACACACACACACACACACGATTTGCACCCTCCAAGGGTTAATCACACACATAGTACTTAAGTTCTTCAGCCAATAAACAGGTTAGACCCAAGATGTGAGTTAATATTCCATTTAATGTCACTAACATCTAATACTCAGAGCATGCTTGTACACTACTTTTGACTGAACTTATGTATTAGTTTACATAAAATCATATTAATGCACATTTTTTAAGCAAAAAGACAAACATCTTGAAATATAATAATATCCAAGACCAGCAGGGAGGTGATCAAGAATTAAGTTCAGTATGGCACTGTACTGTACATACAAATGGCTTACCCAGTGGCACGCTGATTATTCTTTTTACGAAGATCGTTGATGTTAACAATGAGACGGCAGTCCCCATCAGCCACCATATCACGCACAAGCTGAGTATACACTCCAGTATCCTCCTGCAAAAGGAGTGTTGTTACATTAACTAGTATTGCCCTCAAGCTTAATACAAACTAATAAGGTATCACGTCCATTGCAATGCTCCTTTCCGAGTAGACAATCTGTTGCTCCCTAGACAAGAATCTGCTGTACATAAACAGAATTCATTGAGACAGGCAAGATGACATTGAGGTACCAGTGATATGTGGTTCTTTTCAAATTTCCCTGCAGATTATATATTGTTTTTAAAAAGATCAGTGCAGCCTTGAATGTCTACCAGGGGGGAACAGTACTTCCATACACTGTATGTTTCCTTGGTATTGCAAGCGAATGCCAAATGAGGCTTCAAGAGAGTTCATCGACAGCTTAGTCAAACCAGCAATGCCACAACACGTGGCAGCACTGATGCCAATGCAGGGGTCCCAAATCAAAATCATGTAATTTTTTTATAAATACAAATATAAAATTTACTCACAGGAGAGAAGAGAACTGGGAATCTAATGTGTTATGACCAAAAAGATGCCATGCCCTAAAAAATGAGGCTGTCATCTAGGTAAAAGAAATAAAAGAAACCAATAACCCTGCAGGCCTATTATAACAGCAAGCAGACAAATGTTTCATACATGAAATCTAACTCAGAAGCACATCTTCTGTTCCATAAATAGAATGGAACTAATTCTATTTATGATTCCAGCATAAGATCCTTGCTGACCCGATCAAATTGCTCTCTGCCTTAGATGTAAGGAAGACAGGAGGGTTGAAACTTTTTGAGTGGTTATAAAAGTGAAATGGTTTTGAAGTGGTTGTTCATCAACTCTTAGCCAAATGCATAAGTAGTTAATCTCACAGTGCAAAGTGGGGAACAGAATATGCAGAAAAAATACCTTTATTCCAAGAAGGCTCAAAGGAGATCAAAGATCAGAATCTACCCTATTTCTTCATGCAGATCATACATGACCAGATAAGGTAAAAATAACTACACCTCTCTTTGGGGGGTGGTAAACCTCAAGTAACTACAGGTCTATGCCAAGTGAAGGCTCAGGTGGCTCCAGAGGTACCTTTTCATTGACAGGGAAGAAAGGATTTTCCCATCTTTCAGCCTGTGAAAGTAGGACTAAGTATTGGAACCTCATGAGATACAAAAACAGCACAAACCTACCACCTTTCAGCTTAGCACAGGCTTGAGTTCAAGTAAGTTCATTGAGATAATAAAAAACATCTCAAAAGGATAGAGTAGCTTGGGCTATTTCTACCTTCAGATGGGACAGGCTTGAGAGAAAGCTGATGCCACCTAGGTCCCAACAGTTATCTATATCCTCAGCCCTCAAACATGGGACCTAGGTTCATTACCCAGCCAAGACAAACAGTTCGGTAAATTTCCTTTCATCTAATGCCTTTGTTTACCTAGTAGTAAATAGATACCCCAGAAATTGGCAAATGTTGTGGGTTGCATCCTCAGGAAGGCCAGTATTTGTCTAAGGGGATCTAGATAAGCCCAAGTATGGGTTCCTGTCCTCGACAACAGTACTTAAAACAGTTTAATGCCAGGTACCTACTTACTGTTAGGTGAAAAAAGCATCAGGTATAAGGAATTATAAAAAAAATTCTCATCCACCGCAGAAACTGGATATAGATTCAGTTGTTCAATGAATTAATGTCTAAGTGAGGTAATCTTGAGGTTATCTTGAGATGATTTCAGGGCTTAGCGTCCCCACGACCTGGTCCTCGACCAGGCCTCCTTTTTGTTACACACCCCCAAGAAGCAGCCCGTAGCAGATGTCTAACTTCCAGGTACCTATTTACTGCTAGGTGAACAGAGGCATCAGGGTGAAAGAAACTCTGCCCATTTGTTTCCGCCTCCACCAGGGATCGAACCAGGAACCTCAGGACTACGAATCCGAAGTGCTGTCCACTTAACCTTTAGGGGGGGGACCAAAGAGCTAAAGCTCAGCCCCCGCAAGCACAAATAGGCTAGTACACGAGCGTAGCTCTCATCCTGTAACTATGCTTAGGTAATTAAAAAAAATTAGGTAATTACTCAGCTGTCAGGTCCTTTACAAACAACTATTATTTGGATAAGGATCTAATTCTTTTATGATAGATACAAAATAGCAGTGACAACTCCGCTGGTTACACATCCTCATGCATAAAAGTTAGCCAACAAAGTTTTAAGCTTACTTTACCTAATACAACTAATGACAAAAATTTTAAAACAAGCCTGTGTACAATTTGACAATATTGTTGTCAGCCACCCACACTTTTCAATACATAAACTTGTACACAAGTTCCTGATAAGTGTAGATTTATGTATTGATTGGTACACCAACAATGAAAATTTTAGGTCTATGCATGATGAAATTTAAAAATTAAGCTTTTTGCCAAGGACGAGTTTATTTGGCAGCGTTACTCATCCTGTGAGTGAACATACCGTCAAAGCAGTATGTACAACACCCCTAATAAGAAGGAAACCCGCTGGGTTGTTCCTGTCACTAGTACTCAGACGCAGCTGGGACTTGCTGAACTCCCTCAAGTGAACAGTTTATCAAACAAGAATAACATTTACCAAACCCAAAAATACTAAAGACCTAAATCTTGCGGGTGCAAAGTGGATCTATGTGTGATAAAAAGTATTTGTCTAAATTTCTAGAAGCCCTTATCAGCATTAGTTCACTTAATACCAAGACACAATGTAACTTACATCATCTTCTAGAAATTCCAGGTATTCTCTTTGTATGTCCCTTATACGCTGGTCGATAACCACATCCGTCGTAGTACCCATTTTGCCAATACTACAGGAGTTACCTAGACAACACTGCTCCAGGGCAGCTCCACCAGTCAGCCACAAGGAAAAGCGCGGGAATTGTTGTTGTGGAGCGCGCTAGCTGCCGTTTCTCACCGTAATCCGCAGCCGGATTGTGACGTCTTCTGAGGCACATTGACCATACGATACACGACTAGTTATTTATTTATTTTGTATTTATTTATTCATATACAAGAAGGTACATTTGGTTTATGAGAGTACATAGCATTAATGTTTCTACATTTTTGTAAAGCCACTAGCACGCATAGCGTTTCGGGCTGGTCCTTAATCTAACATAAGTTTAATAATTTTCTGTTAGATTAAGGACCTGCCCGAAACGCTGCGCGTACTAGTGGCTTTACAAGAATGTAATCACTAGGTTAATTTAGGTCAGGTCAGGTTAAGTTAGGTTAGGTTAGGTTAGGTTAGCCTAGCCTAGCCTAACCTAACCTAACCCCGAATCAACCTACCCTGGCTTTGCGCCCTGGTGAGGCCACTCCAGACCGACAACCAGAGCGCAACTCCATAGTCTCCTGAGACTGATGGATGCCTACTATCTAGTACAGGCAGCGTTTTGGGCAGGTCCTTAATCTAACAGAAAATTATTAAACTTATCTGTTAGATTAAAGACCTGCCCGAAACGCTATGCGTGCTAGTGGCTTTACAAGAATGTAGAAACATCAATGCCATGTACTCTTATAAACCAAATGTACCTTCTTGTATATGAATAAATATATACAAAATAAATAAATAACTAGTCGTGTATCGTATGGTCAATGTGCCTCAGAATGACGTCACAATCCGGCTGCGGATTACGGTGAGGAACGGCAGCTAGCGCGCTCCACAACAACAATTCCCGCGCTTTTCCTTGTAATTACCTAAGTGTAGTTACAGGATTTATTTATTTATTTATTTATTTATTTATTTATTTATTTATTTATATATATACAAGAAGGTACATTGGGTTTGTGAGAATAAATTGGATAGTACAGTATTTACATTCTTGTAAAGCCACTAGTACGCACAGCGTTTCGGGCAGGTCCTTAATCCTATGGTCCCTGGAATACGATCCCCTGCCGCGAAGAATCGTTTTTTCATCCAAGTACACATTTTACTGTTGCGTTAATTCTTACTGTATCTTGCATTTAAGTGTAACTAAAATTAGTTTTGTGGTGTGAAAGATATCTGATAGCAATTCAGGGGCAAAAGTTTGTATTTTTCTGGACTACGCATCATAAAAAAAAATTGTCCGGAGACAGGCAGCCAGAGTATTCATTCACGTTAGGCTTATATCGCCCTACCCCTCCTCCCCCAAAGGTCGGATTACTGACCCCGCCCAGGATGCAACCCCACAAAAAGCTAACTCCTGAGCACTTACTTACCGTTACACACTAGCCTTCCCGGTTTGGTGCCTTCTGATAATTACTTACTGCTGCACTTTCATAGGTCGGGCATTGAAAGTGTTCCGGCATTTAGGCTAATTTTACTTATGTTTTGTTGGGCGCCATTTGGTTAGTCGTTGATATAAATGAGGGAGGAACGGGCCAAAAATATTGCCAGGGGGAACGTCGGTGTTTAATGAGTCATTTACATAAGCACATTGTGGTTGTTGATCTAGGGGTGGGGTGAGGACTATCTTGGGATGGGATATCAACACGGTAGGCCACACGAAGAACAAGACTAATAACTAGGAACATGAACACCTCTGCCCGAGAGGTGAAAACCTACATTCCCCTCTTTCGGGGGTAGGGACCTAAATACGCCCGTTTGGAACATCGAACAAAAATAAAGACTTCATCTTCACCGACAAAAGAATCGTCACAAACCGACCTTCACGACCCTCCTTCCGCCTCACCACCACCGGAGTTGTTTAGCATCATAATCCCCTGGAATGTAGCTGGGTTTAGCCCTGGCTCTTTCTCTACAACTTCAGCTCTCTCGTCGACTTCTCTTCAGCTTTACCCACTTCAATGCTCGCCCGAATGGGTGCTTTATCCTGTATATTGTGATGCGTCAAACATATTGGCGTCTCTCTGGGATTAAACCGGAAGTTTCAAAGAAAGTGGCCTCCTTTCCCCTGTCTCTACTGTAATGCAGTTAAAGAAATTCATAGAAAACGGTACCTTGGAAAATAATGTATAACTCAAATAGTTCTCAAATACTGTTTCTGACCAATACTTCCCAGATTCAAAAAATACAATAACTTGAACGTGTCTATTGAACAGACAAGTCTTACTATTCCAGTACATCTAAAACTATCACAAGGTGCTCTCGTCCTACATGTTTAGGCCACTAAATACACTAGACACCGTGCATATTAGACACTTGATGGTCCATATATTAAGCAAAATACTCATTTTAATTGAGAATGTATAAAATAAAAATCCAGCCAATTCTTTCATCTTTTATTATAATCTCACGTTTTATTGAACATATGAAATACTGTTTATAATGTGAACAAGCTCTATGTACATCCAAGGGGCAGGTAAACAAATATATTTATACACAATAATGACGCATGAATTACCTCTCCTGCACCTGTCATTGAGCGCAACATCAGCAACGCTGTCCATTAGCCGGGGTTATTCTGTCAAAGTTGTGACCTCCTTGTTGGTTCGAAATTTAAAAGTAGTTTGATTTAATTACACAATAACAAAGGTACATTTATATACACTCTTGTAATCACTAAGCTAACTGAAGGTTGGAAGATGTATGCATTACAGTCATTTTGAAATGTACGTGTGTATGTATTTACTATTTGTATTTGCAGAATCGAGCTATTAGCTCTTGGACCCCGCCTTTCTAACCCATTTATTTTTCCTCTTATGTTTACCACATGTATTTCTCTTTACACACTCATTCCCCAGGAAGCAGCCCGTAGCAACTGTAACTCCCAGGTACCTATTTACTGCTAGGCGAAGAGACGCATCAGGATGAAAACCTCTGCCCAATTGTTTCTGCCTCTGCCGGGGATCGAACCGGGTCCTTCGGACTACGACCCCAGAGCGCTATCCACTCAGCCTCGAGGTTCGTGTGTGTGTGTGGGGGGGGGGGGGGAGTGTACTCATCTATTTGTACTCGCCTATTTGTGCTTGCGGGGGTTCAGCTTTGGCTCTTCGGTCCCGCCTCTCAACCGTCAATCAACTGGTGTACAGATTCCTGAGCGTACTGGGCTCTGGGGCTGTGTGTGTGTGTGTGTGTGTGTGTGTGTGTGTGTGTGTGTGTGTGTGTGTGTGTGTGTAAAAACAAAGACACCAAACGTCTGCAAGTATAATCATGTGTGATTTATAAAACCATTAACGTGTGTATAAATTTGATAGTTTGGTGTTTCTATACGAATACTTCACATATTTTGTGTGATTTCGCATTTTAGCCTAAATAGTACTTGTTTGCGTGTCCTATTACTCCATAGAGTGCATTTAATGAGTACTTATATAATTTACGACTTGCATGACAGTGCTTTAAAGTTTCAATGAGTGTCCCATATTTACATGCATAGGAAAACGGCAAGTGAAGAAACTGCTATAACAATGCATATTAAAGGGACTTGCGTGCATCTAATTATTAATTCTACGTATTTGCTGCCAATCATTTATAACTGTGTACTGTACAGCCAATTGCTACATAGGACCCGGATTCACGAAGCAGTTACGCAAGCACTTACCGCCGTCTACATCTTTCCTCGATCTTTGACGGCTTTGGTTACATTTATTAAACAGTTTACATAAAATGAAAAACTTCCCAAATTAACTGTTGTTATTGTTATAAACAGCCTCCTGGTGCTTCGGAGCTCATTACCCGTTTAATAATTGTAAACAAAGCCGCCATAGAGGAAAGATGTACACGTTCGTGAGTGCTTGCGTAACTGCTTCGTGAATTTGGCCCCTGATTATTATCCCGCCTCAGTGTGATTACAACCTCTGCTTGGGGGGGGGGGGGGAGGGCAGGGTTGGGGGGAACAAAGTTGCCTTCAAATGCTCGTGGATTATTCAGTGATGGAGACGACAGAGGATTTGATGAAATTCTGTGTGAGTGTGATGTGGTGGTCTAGCACGTGTGTGAGTGTGAGACTGTGCAGGTGTGTGCGAGTGTGAGACTGTACAGGTGTGTGTGTGTGTGTGTGTGTGTGTGTGTGTGAGAGAGAGAGAGAGAGAGAGAGAGTGGCGTGTTGGTCCAGGTGTGTCAGTATGATGTGATGTATACTATAATGGTAATCTCTGTATAAATACATATTAGTTAGTGTTATACATGTAGTTACACATGTTCAATTGTTCACAAATATTTACAGTACAACAAAATTGTGTGTGTTTTAAGAGTGTCATATTTGATATGCTTAAAAATGGCATATTATGTACCACACGTACAACAAAAATGCACTTGAACTAGAGTCAAACACACGTCTATACATTATGTACCGAAAAGGTTGTTTGAATACTATATTTGATGAGCAGTATACTATATTTGATGAGTTTGATTTGTGTTCAACAAGTAGGTCACCTCTTTACAAAAAAGTCATATTCACAGTGGACAGCTGGGTCTTTACATAATAATAATAATAATAAAGGATAGGAACATACATGCTTCCTTATTAGGCAAGATTCACCTTCGATAAAAATTCCGGATTTTTTTTTTTTTAGGACATGCAAAGGGGCCGATTTTGCATGCTTCGAACACATGACTTTATTAACCCTGTCTCTCTCAAATTCCAGATAAACTGTGATACTTGAGTGCAATATGCCTAATGATAATTTTACACACACCTTTGGTTGGCGGACCACTGCAAAATTACCTTAAAGCCAGAAATACATGAGCAAAACCAGCTTTATGGCTTGATATATAAATGTAATTACACTGTTCAATTACTGAATGAAATGCAGATTGACACAGTTTTTTGCACTTGGCTTTAAGAAGATGACTTATCTTCATTTTACCAATAAAAAAACAACAAAAGCGCTCACTTTTATATGAAATCTGAAGCTAACTGCCAAAATTAAGATTCTGGTGCTGGAGACAATGACCAGGTGAGCTTAGGAATGGGGCATTACAGGGGACAATATTTCAATAAGG